ATTTTTTTAAACATCTCGCCAATTTATGAGTGATTTTATCATATTTTGGGAGTGATAAATGAAATGGAATGGGTCTAACGGGTCGACCCGCTAACCCACCCAACCCGAACCAAAAAATTACGGGTTATCGGGTTCGGGTCATTCAGATTTCGGGTTATAAAAAATTCTAGTTTTTGGGCGGTTTCGGGTCGGGTCAACGGGTCGGGTTGTAATTTGCCATGTCTAGAAAAAAGCTAATAAAAAAGAAGAAACCAAGAATACACACGTGAGTGGGACTGTGAGAGGTTTAAAAATCACTTATTATTGATTAATAAAGAAAAACCCAGCTCCAATAAAAAAAGGCAGCTGAATTGTATTAAAAAAAGAGAGTGGAGCAGCCGTGGGCTGTGACCCGTGAGCAGAAAAAAAAAACAAAAAAAAACCCTTTTTATAATACCAAAACTACCCTTTTCATTAATTAAATACCCATTCCCACTTTTCAACCATTAAATTAGGATATCTAGATCCAAGGGCTACGAGGGGCTTAGTCACTTGACTAAGCATCCTCTAGTCACAGGATCCGCACTCGTGTTATTGTTATTTGCTTGGAGGAATGGCAATTATATATGCACATATTAGACATTTAGGTTTTTAATAAAAAAATAATATTTTTTCTTTGCTCCTTTGTCCTATTTTTATTTCATGAACCAAATAAATGACTGATTTTATTGTTAAGATTGTTTGTCCGGTCTGAACCATACCATACATTTGTGCTATTGTCAGGTCTAGTGTTACAATTCCTCAGTTTAAATCACAGACAACATACAAGGTCTGGTCTCAAGAGGACCAAACCGTTTTCCAACCCTGCTCGAAAATTACATATTTGCAAAGCCCACACTGGGTATTAATCCCGCACATATAGCGTATGGAGCGCTATTTTTTCTGAAAAATAACATACACGCTTAGAATATTCATACAATATATCATCTATTTGCTATGAATGCATTAGTTCTATTATGTTAGTAGTCTAAATATTACACAATATGAATGCTACAACTATTTATATGCAATATCGTATTCCTATTCTCATGAGCCTGTTCTTCAACTACTATGATATAACACATAATGTGATAAGTGGCTCCGGTATCAAAGATCCATATTGTGGTAAGAAGTTGCAAAACACCTCCAGTTTTGGTGCGGAGAGATGCATTAGCGAGTTGACCAACTTGATTTTGTCCTCAATCTGGAGGTCCAGAAGCTCTCCCCCCTCAATGGTCAACCCAAATAGCCGATCCACCAACAGTCAACAACCTTCAAAATGTGTAGTCTGGTAGCATCGAAAATTGGACGATAGTATACTTGGTTGTGGTGGTTCGAACCCAATTCTTCAGAAGAGTCCAAGAGAGAAATTATAACATTCAAAAGGCCTTTGGTTCACTATATCTGCTTCTATTTATTATAAATACTAAAGGAAGTAAATGATTGGGACTGATATTCTTTATTGAGAATAGAATAAAGGAAAAAACGAAGATAAAAAGTAACGATGATGCGCAGTACAGTGAAGAAAGCTGCAGATTTGATAGAGGAAGTAGAAGGGGCTCTTAACGGTTCAGGGGCTACTGAAAGATTCTTTTTAAATGATGGTTTTTCTCGACAAATTGTGTTTTTTCTGTCCAATTATTTTATCTTTGAAATAGGTTTGCTTTGTTTATTGATCTTTGTCCACTCCTAGATCCAAGAATGTGCATGCCTCTTACATCAAGCTCCGCAATAGAGGGAAACTAAACACCTCCATATCATCGTAATTAAATTGCATACTGCTCAGAGAGATATTGGTCAGATTCTTTAGAAAGTTTTTAAGAAAATCCCCACAGGGATAGGTTGGTCCTGATCCTTGTCCCAAACTCCCGGTTTCAGCTGACGATGCTCCTTTTCTTCCTGATCTTCGGACACGTCTATTAGTTCTGTCACGGTGTGATCATATCAAACATAACCCCAAATATGTGGTCACTAGAATTCACGGTGAAGTCCACCATCTTCACCTTGCTGCAAACGACACTCACCAAATCATACAATTGTTAATCAGATCAAACTTGTACTTGGAGAAGATTTTGCACTCTTCATCGCATAAAGAAAATGTAGTGAATTGTTTCCACACATCCATCCACTGGATAGAAAAGGTCATATCTCTTACCATGCTAAATGTATCTATTATACTCAAGACTTCTAATTTAAGCTCCAACGGGAGTTCAATGAGCTAGTCTTTTTACCCCTCCATCTTTAACTCTTCATTGCCCAAAAAAATACATGAAAAAAGAGAAATCTAAAAAGGTTATTGTTTAACGAGAACAACGTAAAGAGAAAGAAAGATTATGACGCTTCTGGTTTCCTTTCTATCGAGGATCGTCTGCGCAATTAGTGGGAAATGGAAAGAGAGAGCGTAGGATGAAATTCCTTATCAAAAGTTATCAAAGCCAGTATATGAGAGCTACTAGCAAACATAAAAGAGATGCAAGAAACCGATTAATTACGTCTGAATTTCTGCATTTTCCGCGCGCAGTCTGACTGCGAATTATATAACAAGAGATGGAGAGAAAACGGAATGTGGAGGATAAAAGATTTAGAAGTGACGAGACACGAGAGAAGGAATACCCAGACAAGAGGAGGGGAGGTGTGAGAGAGAGAGAGAGACGGGAGCTCCGCTATGACGCCTTGAAGAGAGACAAAACCTCTACTCTGACATCTATTTTAAATATCCGGTTCGAGGCTAAAGAACAGAGACATAAAATAGTCTTTCTTGTTAATACAATGAGAGGACCAAACCATTTTCCAACTCGGCTCGAAATTAACATTTTTATTAGATTGATTAACGAGTTGTCATCCAAATAAATTGAAATTTATTATCCAGCAAGACAACGAAAATCCATGCAAGAGTTTCACTCAACATAACTAAATTATGTCACACTAACAAGTCGGCTTAATTGCAAGTTTGGTCACTCGAATTGCTACAAAATTTCACGTTTGCCACTCAAATTAATTTATTCCATTTATAGTCACTTAAATTAGGTTAACAGTCCAAGTTTGGTCACTGGCCGTTAGTCTCCGTTAACTTTTGCTGATGTGGCGGTCAACTCTTATAGTTGACCGTTAAATGAGTGACGTGGCGATTAAAAAAATAATAATTTAATTTAATTTAATTATTTTTTATTTTCCACCTAATTATTATATAAATAAAAATAAAAACCTAATTCCTTTTAATTGTTATTTTCCACCGCCCGTAGCCGTTCCTCTCCCCTCAGTTCGACGACCTCTCCCGGCCGGCCAATCCGTCGCCTCCGACCTTCCCGAGGGAACCCAATGGCGATACAACGAGTTTCTGAACGCGGTGAAGAAGGGGAAAGTGGAGATTGCCGATGAAACTGAAGAGTCCGTTACCGGAATCACCCTTGGAGACGGAAATATCGACGCCGTTCATCGCTAAGATGTCGATTAGGTCAGGATCGGCTGGGACGGTGACGGCGGCCCGCCGTCCGTCGACGGCGGTCAGCTGGAGGGTGGACCCGTCTTTGCTTAACCGAACCCGCTCCACTTTCCCCTTCTGTTTCAATCTGTGTCAACCGAGGATTTGTCCCGTGGGTCCACTACTTTCCCTCCTCGACACCAAGGTTCCCCACCCCAGGTTCTTCAGCCATTGATTGAAGAGATAGAGGCCAAGGACAATGCCATCAAGATAGCCACAAGGAGGTTTGTGTTCTACGATCATGCAATCACCGCTCTTAGGTCCCTGGCTACTACGATGAGTTATTGCTTTCTCAACACTCCCTTGGAAACCTCTTCTCCATGGCAGCATCGTTCTGCAACTCGGGCATGATCAGTACTACTACTACTGCAACTGTAATTTCTGCTCTGGCTCCACTTCTAAGGGAAGCAGTGGTGGCAGCCGTGGATGACAAGCATCTTGATGTCCTCTCATCGCAACAAGGCGCCTTCGATGCCATGGTTGAAGGGCTGGGAATAGGTGTACCGACTCTAATATGCTCGAGCTGGATCCGGTTCGGGTTTAGTGACATCGTTGGGCAGAGAGGAGAGGAACGGCGACGGGCGGAATATGAAGAACAATCCAGCGAAGGCGATAAAAGGGAAGAGGAGATTGCCGATGAAACTGAAGAGTCCGTTACCGGAATCACCCTTGGAGACGGAAATATCGACGCCGTTCATCGCTAAGATGTCGATTAGGTCGGGATCGGCTGGGACGGTTACGGCGGCCCGCCGGCCGTCGACGAAGGTCAGCTGGAGGGTGGACCCGTCTTTGCTGAACCGAACCCGCTCCACTTTCCCCTTCTTCACCGTGTTCAGAAACTCGCTGTATCGCCATTGGGTTCCCTCGGGAAGGTCGGAGGCGACGGGTTGGCCGGCCGGGAGAGGTCGTCGACCTGAGGGGAGAGGAACGGCTACGGGCGGTGGAAAATAACAATTAAAAGGAATTAGGTTTTATTTTTATTTTTATAATAATTAGGTGAAAAATAAAAAATAATTAAATTAAATTATTTTATTGATTTTTTAATCGCCACGTCACTCATTTAACGGTCAACTATAAGAGTTGACCGCCACATCAGCAAAAGTTAACGGAGACTAACGGCCAGTGACCAAACTTGGACTGTTAACCTAATTTAAGTGACTATAAATGGAATAAATTAATTTGAGTGACAAACGTAAAATTTTGTAGTAATTCGAGTGACCAAACTTGCAATTAAGCCCTAACAAGTCATACAAAGAGAAATGACAATTACTTAATTTGCATCATATCTATACCTTTTTGTGGATAATTTGGTCATTGGTCGGTGCTAAAAAGAAGAAAAGTAATTAAAAAATTATATCTTAATTAGATTACCATACTAGTGGACAATCCCAACAAAAAGGCAAGTTAGCCACTAATATATAAACAAACCATCCATCATCTCTTCCGATTTCCTTTCTACTCGATCGCACTCACTCTCCCCTTGCTCTGTATCAGAAGAGGGAAAAACATGGAGGAACAGAAACCAGGAGGCATGAATCAGATCGCCGGTGGAATGATCGGCAAAGAAGAGAGTTTCGATCAATCAGCTTCCCCTCAACCAGCTCCACCTCGTTATCCGACCACCGCCGCGGCCGCCGATTATTTGCTGCGAGACGAGAAAATTGGGGGGATTGTGCAGGGTCTCCACAGAGAGGCGTCCTGCTTCGCCAGCGAAATCGAGGGCTTCTTCGGCGACATTTACCCCGACGATCTCACTTGCTTTACCTTCAAAACTCCGGTCAGTCAAAAGTCTCAGTCTCACACCTCATCCTCTGTTTTTCCGATTCATTTTCCGTTTGGATCCGGGTCAGTCCCGGGCCCAATTCATTCTGATAAGCCCATGTGGCAAGGGGTTTGGGCTTTGGAGGGGGGGAAGTTTCAATTGCGTTGGGCTTGGGTTGAACCGTTCATCCGGCTACACCCATGGAAGGGGAGGGAAGTATGAATCCGGTTCGAATCCAACCCGACACAAATTGGTTGTATTACTCGTAAGTAGGAGTTAAAAATCGAATCAAATGTTATGAGACATGAGTAGGTATGATGTTTTCATTATCCAACTAAATTTACCTACTATACATGCATGTGTTTTTTTTATATATTATTATGGGTACTCTCAATATACTAGGCATTTGTAATACATAATTACATATATCGTGAACATATAAATCCAGAAACCGGCCAACCTGTTAATCCAAACTTGATAAATCGTGAGATTCGAAGGTTACAAAATGTATGAGTGGGTTATCATTCGTTAACTTTGTTGGGTGGATGCGATTTTGGAGTTGGAGAAACCAGACCTGTATTTTTTACCTGTATAATTCTTGTACAACCCACTATATACTCAATATAATGCCATTCGAACTTTAACTATTGTTTGAGCACAACATATTTGTTGTTAAAGATGTTATAGTGAAAGTCTTTCTCATCTCCAAATTATGTTTCTTAACATATTGAAGACTGAGGTCATCCAAGTTAATAGCAGGTAGGGCTTAATATGTCGATGATATTAGGTTGCAATTACTTTATAATTTGAAAGAAAAATACATAGAAGTTAATGGCTTGTTCTTTTATTTACGTCCCATTAAACACTTATAACTTGTATATTAAAATTTTAAGCAATATAAATAAATGACAAAGATCTTGAATATTAGTGTTCCACACGGATTATTTCTTTCTCCTGGACCAACCCAAAGCCTGCTGCACTAATAGGATTTTCATTTTCATGGTTGGATTCTGGATAGGAGTACTTTGTTATCCAAACCGTATCATTTTTTACTTTAAATGCCTAAAACCGACCCACTCGATCCACGTACACTCCTGCATTCAACATCTCATAATGTTTGGTATTGCCATTCTGACCTCTAATAACAACCAAAGTAACATAAAAGTTCTAAACACTCCACTAGCGTATGGAAAAATCCTTATAATCAAAGCCAACTTTTGAGTAGATTCTTGCCGAAAGCCAGAGCAAAAAGTACGCTCTGTGACAGGAGATGGCGAGGTGGAGTTGCAATACCCTGCTTCAAAAGCAGAACAGACAACAAGCCCACTTTCTGGATCCAAACTTTACTACGTGGCCATGATATCGACATTTTTAGACGGCTTTCTCAATCACACACATTCTTCTTTCCCAGTCTGATTTCGTTTCTTTGTGAATTTACAGCACTCCATGGATGGATTTGCAGCTTGTGATGGTGGCCTAACAGATTCATTCCTATGGTCACATAGCAGCAGCAATACTAATGTCAACCCCAGGCAATACAGCCATTCAGTTTCCATCGACGCCCAGTCATCCATCTGTGGTAATTAGAACTCAGAACCCTGCTCTGCTTGAGTTTCTCTGCTCAATCCAATTCACATTTTTAGTAATGGGTAGTTTTGATTTGATCGATCAGTTGGGAGCCCGACATCAGCCAAGCCGAACGTGCGAGAGATCGAACCGAAAGTCACATGGAGCGGTTCGTCGCCAGAGCCATCAAATGAGGATGAAGAAGATGCTGAGATAGAAGCAGGGCCCTGCGAGCAGAGCACCAACCCTGCTGTTGATGTCAAGCGCGTCAGAAGGTGATCGATTAACGATCCCCAATGTCGTAACAAATGTGTATATCTGATCCAAATTTGGCCTTAATTCCTCTCTTGTATTGCTTCGATCCTCGTCTAGGATGGTCTCGAATCGCGAGTCTGCTAGACGATCTCGAAGAAGGAAGCAAGCTCATCTGGCTGAACTGGAATTGCAGGTATTTTTTTTACTCCTGCACTATGTTGATTGATCAAAACATTATGTTTCACGTAACGCGACATTAGCCAACCATGGTACAGATTCTGTTTGATTCATTTTGCAGCGGTTTTTGTTCTTGTTTTTTTCAAGGTTGAGCAGCTGACTGGAGAGAATGCAACGATGTACAAGCAGCTCTCTGACGCGGCCCAGCAGTACCGCGAGGCAGGCACCAACCACAGGGTGCTGAAATCGGGCGTCGAGGCCCTGCGAGCCAAGGTCAAGCTGGCTGAAGACATGGTGGCTCGGGGATCATTCACATGTAGCATGAACATGCTGCTGCAGAACAACAACAACAACAACATTCAACCTGATGCAGTAACAGTAGCACCTCCTCAGGTTATGAACAATCACGTCAATCTCAATCACCATCACCATCATCATCGGATGGCAGCCAACGTGTCGCCGAGCATCACGGTTCGAGGAGGAGAGGAGGTGTCGTATGGTGGCGGCGGTGGTGGAGCAGGAGGAGGAGGAGTCTCAGTTGGTAGTGCAAGTCTGAACAATGATGTGATTAGTGAGACTGGTGTAAGTTGTGTGTCTAGTGTAATCTGGCCTTAATTAAATTACTGAGCTAGCTAGCCGTCATGTGATCTATAGTCTTGTTCTCACTTTTGCTTAGTGCAATCTGGCGTGTATGTAATGTACTTAAATGTTCCAATAAGTGTCTCCATGTAAGCTCTATTTGTATGGTAATGTGCACTATGTAAAGAACTTGGTCCATTGCTATGGGCAGCTTCTTCCTGTTTGTTTACTGTGACTGAGCATGTGGACCATGTTTTAAAACTACAATTAGGATGATTGACAGAATCGTAGCGTCAACATGATAAAATTGTTGTTGTTAAAGTAGTTTTTTGATTGGAGTTGTTGTCAATGACGTTCTATGAATAGTACGTATTCATACTTTGATCTATTCATTGGTTTCGGTCTTCTACATTATGTGAATGTCAACCGTTCTCAAATATTTATGCGTTACTTATATCATTACACAAGCACATGATCAAAGCCTAGTTTCTTAGACATGCTCTGAATTTACGAACATTTGTCTGCTAAGTTGAAATTATATATAGAGTCATTAACCCTATAAATTCATACGTTCATGTCATATATTTTTTTCACGGTACATTCACCCCTCTAACTATATATTTTATGTACAAGCTTGTCCACATTTGTTCAAATTTATAGAGTACTGCTTGTGTCTCGAACATTTAAAATTAAAATGTGCTATTTTTTAAAATAAAATTCTGACTATTTTCGAGAGAGGAAGTATATTTGGTATCATGGAAAACAATTTCAAAATGTATTTCAAAGTTACACTATTAAATTTGTATAATATATATGCCTTGACTGTCCTAATTACAAAATCGTACATAAACTAAGCAAATGTTACATAAATCCTTAAACCTATCCTAGTTTACTCTTAACTCCAATATTTACAAAATAATTTCCCAAAAATTAATAAATGAACTAATAGTACCTATTCAAAGTCTCTTCTCTTCTTTTCTACTTTGTCTCTCAAAAGGGTACCAATAGACAAATCAATATTTAGAAGCTAAAAAATAATCATCGTTGTTTCCTTCTCCGGTTCCTACGCCCTCTCGCCCGAGACAAGGCTCAAAACTATTCAATGGACGAGCAATCATTACGGGACTTCTGAGTCATAGTATTATGGTGGATGTGTAAACAGCAATACTAAATCTACGTTACGTAAGCATTTTCTTCTTTCTTTCTTGATCAATTTCATTCTTCCCCATCGATCACCACTCTCTGTCTCCATCGTTCCATCTCATTTGGGCATCACATTTTCCTTATAATCATGGCCTCTATTCCTCAACAGGTCTGTCTGTCTTCTTCTTGTTTATTACTTCTAGTCTCGTGTTTCCTTTGAGTCCTCATATAATCGTGTGATTTCAATGTCATTGAGTGCAACTTGTGCTTATTTCAATTCGAGTTTTGTTCTAGATATATCTTTAGACATTCTTGTAGCATATAGTTTGTTATTAGTCGATACTTAGATATCAACATATAATCATGTAATGATACTCTACTATTAATCCGAGGCCCAGAGATTGGATGTGTATGAATCAATTAGGTTGGATATATACATCATTGTCCAAATTGACAAGTTATTTAAATCGAATCATAAGCAAGAGTGAAAACTACTAATTTCAAGAAACGTTTGAATTGACTTTTTAGGAGTTGATTCAATCAGCACAATAACTATCATCGTCTAATTTATAACGAGTAACTAGCAAATGAAAAACAACTTGCAGGCAAACAAAAGAGAAAAATCAAATAAAACGTACCAATAATTCAATAAAGAAACATTACACCAATTCCTTGGATAATTTTACAACTTAGAGAAATTTTTATGATTTTTTTCAAACTATTTTTGCGTATAAAAGATGAGTTTTTACTATCTTTCCTCTAGAGTAGAGAGTATTACTTGAATAAGAAAATCATGGGAAATGAAGAGATTATGAACTCATTACAATAAAAATGAAAATATTAAGGGTGTTCAAGCAAAATGAATGAGAATTAAGGGTTCGACCAAATGTTAGGCCCAATTACTTTTGCATTACTAGGTCCTCGGACGAGACAAATGGACCCAAAGCCCACATACCACCTTCAGTACAAACGGACCAGACCTCGGGGCCGGGTACGAGCCTGTAGTCGGTACTCGAACGACGACGTTATAGTGAGTGTTACTGTGTAAGAACTTAAATGGAAATGATATCCCTCTCCGTTCGTCACTGCCGGCGGCAGCGGGACTTCACCGTAGCCAAGTTTGACGCATCGGAGTCCTTCGACGTCATCATTGCAGTATTCGTCCTCCGCCACCGCCGATGCTGATGCAGAATAAGATAAACAGAGAAGAATCGGTGCCGAAATTGAGATAGAGAGAGATCCTTCCATAGGACTAATCGGAGTTGTTATAGTTTAGTAGCTGATATTTGGTGATACACGTTTTCAGTTCCATCTATCGCGATCGCCATTATCGCACCCCGCTCATTACATACGTTGTTGCAGCAGCCTTCAAATGGCTTCAGAGAAGAGCGAGACACATTTGGGCCAATTCAAGTTCCTGCTGATAAGTAAGTTCGGTTGAATCCTCGTTTCCCTTTTCCAAATGGCTTGTTTCATAATCAAATTTTTCTCTGATTCACTACAACAACTTCCTTCACTCCTGTAGATTGTGGGGCGCGCAAACTCAAAGATCGCTGCAGAATTTTGAAATTGGCGGGGAGCGAGAGCGGATGCCGGAGCCAATAATTCGTGCATTCGGAATCCTCAAGAAATGTGCGGCAAAGGTCTCGAATTCTTTCTCTTTTTCTCTGATTTGTACCCAACCAATCGCTTCCGTGATTCAGATTGTAGTTCTGAAATGAGAATTCTTCTGTGGTGTGTATGTATTGGTTGCAGGTGAACATGGAATATGGGCTTGATCCCGCCATTGCTAAGGCCATCATGCAGGCTGCTCAAGAGGTGGCTGACGGAATGCTAAATGAACATTTTCCACTCGTCATTTGGCAGACTGGTAGTGGCACTCAAAGCAACATGAATGCCAATGAGGTCAGGGTTATGATTTGTGTTCTATTGATTTTGGATGAGGAACGCCCAATTTGGGGGAAGCATTTGATAATTGCGCTTGATAGAAATTTCTAGCATAGTGGGGAAAGTTGAATTCAATTCAATTCATCTTTCGACATTTTGACTATGGTTTAGTTCAGTGGCCATCAGTTGAAAGTTCCAAAATGTGAAGGGAATCTGATGCTTCTAAACCAAAACATATAGCTCCACCATGTTTATTCTTCTGAAGATGTTTAAATGTTCATTATCACTATAAGTTAGTTGATCTCTTCAAGTTTATTTCCTGTTAGTTGAACGAGTTTGTTACAAAATTTCCAGGTTATTGCCAATAGAGCTGCTGAAATCCTTGGCCATAAGCGTGGTGAAAAGTATGTGCATCCAAATGACCATGTTAATAGATCACAATCTTCCAATGACACTTTTCCTACCGTAAGCACAATTTGCTATCTAATCTTCTACGTAACTCCCTAATATGATGTTACTTTTTGTCTTTATGTGTATTTGCCATGTTCAAATTAAAATTGTTCCTTTTTTCATGTGGGTCATCTTTTATACTTGTAGGTGATGCACATCGCAGCTGCTATGGAAATAAACTCAAGATTGTTACCAAATTTGAAAACTTTGTACGCTACTGTACATACAAAGGTGACTGTTGTCATTAAGTTTAATTGTTGTAGCTGCCTATATCTTAGTTTTCCTGCATTATCCCTGGTTTTCCCATGTGAAAGATATTCCTAGTCTCCTTGTGTTTGTTTCAACTTCATAAGCTTCATTCACTGTAGTACGGTATTTATGATTTCAATATGAATGTTATGGCTACTGCTCAAATTTTGAGTCACGTTGTGTATCTTCTTCTTCCTTAGTCTATTGAATTCAAGGATATCGTTAAGATTGGGCGTACTCATACTCAAGATGCAACCCCATTGACGCTTGGTCAAGAGTTTAGTGGCTATAGCACCCAAGTGAGATCCTTCATCGCGATTCATTTTGTCTTCAACATTTTGTTGATAGGTTGTCCTTTCCTCATATTTGCGTATTGTTTCCAGTTGCAATATGGAATTGATCGTGTCACTTGCTCTCTACCCCGCATGTATAAGGTTGACTAGACTGTTCCACATATGTAATTCACAATTCTGTTTTTCCTATCCCCTCTTTTCCAGAGAAGTTTTGTCATTTTGGGATGTTGAATGCAGCTTGCTCAAGGTGGAACCGCAGTTGGAACTGGCTTGAACACCAAGAGAGGGTATTATATATTTTCTCTGGGTTTTTGGCGCCCGCAACTGCTCTTTTGCTTGCGTTTGCATGCTTCTTGACTGTTTTCATCACTAGACCTCTTTTTGCATGTAGTTTCACATTACTACTACATAGACCTTATTAGATAAAAGAACACCAAAAGAAGGTTAAGGTCAATGATGCCTGGTGCTCCTATTGTAATTTTTTTGTTATCTTTTAATGCAATCATGGTTCGGGAGTGCACTATTTTATTTTAGGCAATACCTCATTTGTTGTTGACTTCCCTCGGGTTGTGTTAGCTTTTTCATTGATGCATCTAAATGATTCAGAGGGCATGTATTGTCTACGCACCTGTAGGTTTGATGCAAAGATTGCTCAAGCAATAGCTGAAGAAACAAGGCTACCATTTGTTACAGCAGAGAACAAGTTTGAAGCTCTGGTTAGTTTTTTGTTTACTTGCTGATGTTATAGATTTGTTGATATGACTTGAATCGGATTATCAGCCGCTACGACTGGTAACCGGGGGTCTCGCTGCCCGGTCAGCGAGTGGGGTCCAGGGGCAACGCCCCGGTGGGGGTGCGGGGGCAACGCCCCCGGCCCACGGTGTATGGGCTCAATGTTATTTGAGTTCGGGTTCTGGGCCTGGTCTGTAACCGTTTCCTTTGCTAGATTGGATTAGGTTTAGACCCACATGGAGAAGTACTATAAATACTTCTCATACTCCTCTGTAATCTGTAATCTCCTCAGTATAGTGAAACTGGCTCTCTCTCGCCCGTGGACTAGCTAACACACATCGTGTTAGTGAACCACGTAAATCGTGTGTCGTGTTTTCGATTCTCGCTTTCGTATTCTTGCTTTGTCGATCCCGGCGATTTCCCGATCCGTAGCAGCGCGTTTATAACAAGATTTTTATTGCATTTGGTTAATATTTTTGTTTATATTAAAATGGGGAGGATACCATTATGCTTGCTGAAAAGACTTTAAATTGTTAGGCTGCACATGATGCTTTTGTTGAATGTAGTGGAGCTCTCAACACCATTGCTACTTCTTTGATGAAAATAGCCAATGACATACGCTTCCTAGGAAGGTGAATATACTTGTATCGAATAAACTCCAACTTCTCTATCCCTGAAGTTCCTTCCATGTTTGTATATTGTATGACGTTCTTTGAACTTCTCATTTGATCAGTGGTCCAAGATGTGGGCTTGGCGAACTTGTTCTTCCAGAAAATGAGCCTGGCAGCAGTATCATGCCGGTATTGTTTTTTCTAGTTCTTTTCATGCATAAATGAACATCTTCTAGTCCTTAAATACGTTTTTGTTGGCTGATGAAGCTGGCTTTATGGTTTTCACTCATTATGGCTCGACATATTCTAGGGGAAGGTTAATCCCACTCAATGTGAGGCGCTTACAATGGTCTGTGCTCAGGTACATTCTGTTTTTGGTTTTCTTTTTCATTTTCTAGCTGCAGAACTTCTTCCTTAACCTTTCTTCATCTTCCTACTTCTGAAAATATGTCTGGTTATGATAATGTTTGTTCTCTTGTTATACAAGGCTGGAGAATGCCCTCTGAAGCAACTGTGATGAGTTTATGTGACTGTATTCTCATGATTATTGTTTCCATTATGTATTTTACAGGTTATGGGAAACCATGTGGCCATAACTATTGGTGGATCAAATGGCCATTTTGAGTTGAATGTATTCAAGCCTATGATTGCAAGTGATCTCCTTCATGTATGGAATGTTTCTATAACTTCCTAGTGTTTCAGAGTAGTTCTTCAAATTATCTTGTTCCCTGGTGCCTAGGATCAAAATTTCTTTGCTTTGAACTTCTCTCCATCTATAACATCAACTGTATTGCATAATGAGCGCATTGTCTTATTTAATAACCTGTGAAACAGTCAGTGAGATTGCTTGGAGATGCATCTGCTTCCTTCGAAAAGAACTGCGTGAAGGGAATCCAAGCTAACAAGGAAAGAATTTCCAAGTTGCTGCACGAGGTCAGTAATTGGAACTGATCACAGAAACTACGATTTGTATTGGATTGCAATGACTAAGAAATCTTGACGGATTGTCTCTTTTGTGGGCTCTTTTCAGTCACTCATGCTTGTTACATCACTGAATCCCGTAAGTTCCCTTGATTCATTCAAGTAACAATATCAATCAAAACTCAACCTTCACTTTCTTGACGTTTTAATTACGGATCTCGTGGCATTGTTGATTTCGCATAGAAAATTGGGTATGACAATGCTGCTGCACTTGCTAAGCTTGCTCACAAGGAAGGACTTACTCTGAAGGTGACTCTACTCCTTCCACCAACTAATTCATCGTGCTTCTTCCATTCTTTACCGTCTTTCTGTTAGTAACAACAACTAGGTATGGCCATAATTATGTCTGCAGGAAGCAGCACTGAAATTGGCAGTTCTGACCAGCGATGAGTTTGATCAGCTGGTTGTACCTGAGAAGATGATAGGACCATCTGACTGAAGTGAATACACTTCTTTTTAATGCAGAAGAGTTCTTCCAGCAATTTTGGTAGTAGAGAACAGAGGAAGTCTTGCAACTTCGTTCTTCGTCATTTGATATATTGAATTCTTAGTCTTGCTTCACAGTTCACATAGTTAGGAACGAAGCTCTGTATCTATTGGTTCTAAAAACATGTTTACGACACAGATTGGTAGAAACAAGTCATTTTACTGGATTCACCATTAATGTATTTACTGATTTATGAGGTTTATCCATATTTCAACAATCAAGACTTGTGATCTTAGGGCACTAATACCATCTCTAACAATGTCGTCCATAGGGAATAAGGTCACAACCAATGATGTTAGCTTTGATAGTAGTTCGAGTTATTGCTTGGAAATCTGTGTGAGGTTGGGTTTTCATGAAGTTCTCATAGAGCATCACCTACCAGTCTTTCTAGACGCCGAAATTACACAATAAATTTTTTTCTCCTAGTTCAACGAATTGTGTAAATTCTAATAACAATGTTATCTCTATTTTCATCTATGTTTTGTGGATAGAAGATTGTTATTATATAATAGATATGTTTTAGTTGCGTTATTCCTAAAAAAAGCTACAAATATTAATTACAAACATCAACAATATATCAAAATCTTTAAAGTAGCGTTTCAAGATGGAAATTGAGAGGAAAGGGATGATGAGGTATTAGTTGTTGACATTTGTCTAGTTTAATGAAGGTGATTTTATAATTTTCAATCTTTGATGATCAATCGACATAATTTATCCATACTTAACGTCAAACCCAAATTAAAACTAACGGTAATAGGCTCGTTCAGGAATCGTCAACAAGTTCAAGGGCCAGGACAGGATAAATCGTAGTTAAAGGGCCATCTTTGAGACAGTGGTAAATTTGAGGGTCAAATTTGACATTTTGGCCCTAAAAGAAAAAGGAAATTGGTAACCGGAAATTTCTTACTTGTTCCCTAAGAAGCATTAGGTCTTCTAAAAATATAAATCAGATAGCACTGGATCAGTGAAGGCCTAAAGCTTATTTACTTCAATCAATCGAACTTCTTCTTTGCCCCTGCTCCTCCCGCTTATCGTCGCTAGGATTTTCCACCATGGATACTACTCTTCAGGATCTGAATGCTCCCCACTCGATGGGCACCACCATCATCGGCGTCACTTACAATGGCGGGGTCATCCTCGGTGCAGATTCCCGTACCAGCACCGGTACGTTGTTAGCCCTTCCCGGAGTTCTTCCTGATAAATTTATCACCGTTAGGTCTTTCCTTCATTGATAGATCTGATGAGGTCGCTGGGTTTGATTTGATTGTAAAAAGTCGGGACATTTTTGTTGGGTATGGACTCAATCGAAGAATTATGTACGTTTAGGGTTTTGTTCTGACGAATTCCGGTTCCTGCGATTTGTAGGAATGTACGTCGCTAACAGGGCTTCGGACAAGATCACCCAGCTCACAGATAACGTCTACGTCTGTCGCTCGGGATCGGTACGAATCGCAGCTTTGAAATTATTGTGAACACTAGGGCCTTTTGAACTTTGTCGAAGATGGTTGGAATAGTTTGTTCTGGGTCATTGGCTCTCCAATTTCAGCTCAAGCATCAATTGCATGCATTACTCTATTGATAATCTCAAAGCTGTTTGTGGGCTTCTGAATTTACGATACATGTTCTTCTATATTGCAGGCTGCTGATTCCCAGATTGTTTCTGACTATGTTCGATACTTCTTACATCAACACACGTGAGTTGGCCAGCCTTATGATGCTTTACTTATAGTCTTGTGCCTTCATCTATTCTAGCAGCGAGGCTTTGCTCGTTACCAATTAGACTGGCTGTTTGTGTTCGAATTCTCTATTTGTGAACGAGTTTCTCCTCCATGATATGCACAAGACTACGTTTTAGGAAGGATAATAGGATTTAGAAACTAATGCTATATGGAAACTTCCCTCTTGAAAATATCTGTCCCTTCGGTTCTGCAGTAAGCTTCCAAGAACTACTCTGGTATTGATAATATTTTTAGCTCAAGAAAAACCCAAGAGTTCTAAATGTTAGGGATCAAGTAGCTAGCCACTGGTTGGCATTGTATGACTGCATTGTTGACACCAGGATGGTGGTTCATATTTAACAGGTTAAAGCCTTATTAGACTCTGCTCATCCTAGTTATGTACAGATTTTCTGTAGGATGCTTATACGTGATGGTCTTCTGTGATTTCGTTCCATGCATAGTTGTTTCTGTTTTTAAGATATTGAGGCAGGCAGCTTACAGCCTTGTTAAGCTTATGTTTCAAATTTCTCATTTACTATGATCTATTCTTTTTGCAGCATACAATTGGGACAGCCTTCAACCGTGAAAGTGGCTGCAAACCTTGTCCGCTTATTATCCTATGGCAATAAGGTTCACTTCAAGTTCTCTTTCCTGTGCTAAAGTATCTGTCTCACTCCATCGATACTGCATACTGTCCACTGCAATCTACATGCTGCATTTAGTTGACAGAAAAGGTTGCCAGAGAGGAGATAGGAGAAATTTTTTGTTATGGAAGTAGAGTGTGTTGGTAGGTAGAGAGCTGCTTGTTCTATATCTATCTTGCTTTCTGTACTAACTTTGTCTTCGTGTTTTCTTTGAGCTTCCAGAACATGCTACAAACTGGTATCATAGTTGGCGGGTGGGACAAGTATGAAGGTGGGAAAATTTATGGAGTTCCTCTTGGTGGAACATTGGTAGAGGCACCCTTTGCGATTGGAGGTACTTACTTTGTATTCATCTGCATGTACACATGTTATTGTTTCAGTTTCTATTCATGATCCAATTCTAAATGGTCCGTGAAGGTGTTTCACGGGTAGTCATAAGTAGGTTTATTAAGTCGTAGCCGAAGTACCGTTTTCCGTGGTTTTCTCTGTGTATGTTCTTTTCTTCATCTTCCCGTGACTTTTACCACTTCATTATTTTGGGTTTTGCCATACATGATAAGAAGCTATTCTGCTAAAGTTATGAATAATGGTTGAGTAAGAGGGGGAAACTAGTCTAGGATGGAGTAGTGAACCCAAGATGGATGAAACCTCCTACAACCATGGTTGCCAGGTCTCATTCATGTTATCATAGTAAAGAATTAGGAAATTTCTTCATAATGGCAGAGTAGGCAATGTGAACAAAATGTATGATGTTTTGCAGGATCTGGCTCCAGTTACTTATACGGGTTTTTTGATCAAGTTTGGAAAGAAGGCATGACCAAAGAGGAAGCAGAGGTGAGAGACTGTTAACACCACTGTTTCCTCCTGTCAACCAAAAATTGAGACGAAACAATTATTTCAGCAGTGTTTTAATTTTCCTTCTGCCTTGGTGCATGCAGCAATTAGTGGTGAAGGCAGTTTCCCTTGCCATAGCAAGAGATGGTGCTAGCGGTGGTGTCGTTCGTACTGTAGTTGTAAGTATCTGGCTTCCCCATCTCTTTACAATTTTGAGTTTGTGTATGAGAACGCAACTGAAAAACTCCGTTGATTTTCCTTTTTTGGGTAGATTAACTCTGATGGAGTGACGAGAAACTTCTACCCTGGTGACACTCTACCTCTGTGGCATGAAGAGTTGGAGCCGCATAACTCGTTGTTGGATATACTCAATGCACAGGGACAAAGCCCTGAGCCAATGAACATATGAAGGAAGGTATGGGGATGGTAGATGGTGTTGGGGTTTCCTAGTTATGCCGGGAAATCCCTTTTGAGCATCAGTTGGTTTGGTTCTATGTACACCTTCCATTTCAAAAAGGTTCTGGGTTTATGAATTACCTGGTGAGCTGCTGCTACATTAGTAATGTACTGTGTTTGGATATTTTTTAGTGCATTACTTGAGATGTTCTGTTTAAATCTGCGTGATCATTGACCGCACTTCACCGGGTGCCTATGTTGGCTGACTACTGTATATCGTTTCGTTTGCCTTCGTTCCCCTTCACATCTGAACCCTAAACCACAGAGCAACTGGTCCGTTAACATCCCTGGATATAAACGGTGGTGCAATGATACGTTATGTGAGCACACTTTGTTTGTGGTCTGTGGAGGATGTGGAAGTCACAAATTATGTTAGTGATTTATGAGCATGTTTAGCCCCTGATTGCTGCTCGATTTTCCCATCAAGTTCTGAGGTTGTTTCAGCTCCCTGTTCGACCCTGTACATGCTTCCTTGACTGCTAGCCTGCTCACCTCTCGCCAGTCGGTTATAGCTCAACCTTGATGCCGCTGTTCTCCCTTCAGTTCGATGTGTGATCGTTCGTGGCTGTACTCCCCCGAGTTCGATGTACTTTGGGCAGTTCATGTTAGTGTTAAATTGCACGAACCGCTTCCAAATTCCAATCGAGTTCGGTCCCTCACGTAGGTTGTGATTCGTTAACTTAAATGAAGCCCTGATCGTGAGGCAATCGATGGCTCAGTGGTTCATGGTTGCCTTCAAATGATGTCTTCTCCAGATGACGCTATCAAGTTCGTCACAATCTTCATGATCATCAATCGAACTGCCTATATAATGTGGAACTGTACTGACGCACAAAATATTTTTCTGGCTTGTTTAGATTTTGTTACGACTATTTAATATCATCGGACTCTCAATTATGGCCACTAAAAGTTCTGTAACATCCAAAACGTCGTCGTAGTCTTAGTCCACCTAAGGTAGACTGGTCGAAGCAATACCGTAAATTAGCATTTAGCAGAAAAAAACGACGGCGAAGGGCGACGTCGGCGAGTAATCGAAGCAAATTGGAGAGACAGAGTACTGAAGGAAGGATGGGTTCGGCAGCAGCAGCCATGGATGGTCACAAGGTGTTCGTCTACGGCAGCCTCATGGCCGATGAAGTTGTTCACGTCCTGCTGAACCGCGTCCCTCAATCCTCAGCCGCCATCCTCAATAACTAGTCTGTTTCTCTCTCTCTCTCTCTCTTTCCGCGTTCCTTTTCTTCCCTTTTCTCCAAATTCAGATCCTATTGCAGACCTACTGTTTGATGATATGCCTGTGACAGTCACAGGTTCAGCATCAAAGGGCGGGTTTATCCGGCTATTCTACCAATCGAGAACAAGAGCGTTTCTGGTAGAGTCCTGTTTGGGCTCACCCATCCGGAGCTTGAAATCCTCGATACGTTCGAGGATGTTGAGTACGAGCGTCACACTGTTGAAGTTTCACTCCCGGTAAAGCACTGTGAAATTTCCCCCCAAAGTTTTCTTTTTTTCTCCCATCTGCTACTTGGGATCATTTCCCCCTTCTTTAAAAATGGAGTCTTTTATCACTTTTTCGTAGGTGGAGCAGAAGCTACAAGTGAATGCCTATGTCTGGGTTGATAAAGATGATCCTGACTTGTATGGGGAGTGGGATTTTGAGGTACTAACTCGTTTCTTTTCTCTCATTTTATGTGGGGCTTGAATGAGAAAGGCTTCATAGTCTGGAGCTTCTGGCCTTTATGATTCTGAGTTATGATGGGAACAAGATGCTTACTGAAATAGGTGAAAGGTTTAAATTCCCTGTGGCTGAACTTATGTCATGTTTGCTTGTTTTGATGGGTGGGAAGGAGTGGAAGAAATCACACATGAGTGATTTTGTGAAGATGACGGCAGAATTCATGGAAGAAGTGCAGCAGCCTGATTCTAAAACCAGAGTGGCTACCTATGAATCTTTCTACAATGCAGCAGATGGTGGCACCAACACTGCTTCTAACTAGCTTCGTTGGATGAATGAACATCAATCCCGCCATTGCGAGATCAATCTAGTTAAATAATCAGTTTCCATTTCGAAACATCGTTTGTTGATTGGGTTCAACTACTTGGTTGTTCGGCAATCAGACAGTCTACGATGTTTAGATAGATGTAAAGTGTGTGTTGAAGGTTTGAAGCCCTCATGAAAAGATATTGTATTGAATGTCCAGAATGTAGTGGTGTTACTGTTATGAGTGGCTTGATCTTCAAAAGCATGCAATTGCATGTGCTGCATATGTAATTTCCCTTTGATTAAATCAAGCTTGGAGTTCAATAAGATGTTTGAATAAAAATTGAAGGTAAAAATGGAAGAGAAAGTCTGAACATTTGTGGTTAAAATGATGCTTGAGGCTATGTAAATGGCTAAATTCTTCTGGTGGATATCTTCTTTTTTCTTTCAGATTGTTTGAACCTGCTTAAAGCTCCAATCTATCATCTCTGTCTTTCACCCTGGTAATTTCGTGCTTGGATTGTTGATATGAAGGATGTCTTCTATGGGATCTTTTGGATCACAAACACAAGCTCGTAAGTTGTATAATTTTTACAGCTACATCCCTTTCGGTTAAGTGGAAACTACCAGCATTTGTATTGTAACACAGCACCAGTTAAACTACATAAACAGGTGATCAAGCCGGTATGGCATTATCAATCATTTGCACAAGATGTCGCAATACTGTACTACTAGAATCAATACGTGTTTAGAGCTTTATAGGTATTTTTCAGAAACACGATAATTATTGGCTCTCAACATTATAAGAAATAAATATTCAATCATCATCCAAATCACCCTAATAAGATTAAAACTATCACCAGATTCTACTTTTTCAAAGGTTCAACATATTCCTCATCTTTTCGTACCCTCGCATAATCACCTCAGTGGGTTGGTATCTAACATTACCAAGAACAAAACTAAAATATAATCGAAGAACCAAAGTTGATTGAAACTATCATTCGTCCAAACAATCACAAACAATCAATAGAGGCATGGAGCTCCTCAAAATTAGTTATTCTTGGTTCTATAGCTATCCAAACAATTAATTGCATGCACCATAACCACTCATGAGACAAAGCAAATAGCAGCCACAATAGTTAGTAGGAGCTTCACAGCCAAACAAATGATTGGTCAAAGATGGTCAAAATCCTTGTAAAACATACATCAAGAGCTAATTATTGTGATCCAGTACCAACTCAACTGACCATGATATGCAATGCACTTGTCGAGCCAACCTTTATATAAATTACTTTAACAAACTCTCCCTTTCAGTATTGCACTAAATCTAGAAATAATGTTAAACTGCATTTGCAAATATTGAGCAAACTAAGATGAGAAGCAGAATTCTAACGTCGAGTTTTAGATGAAGAGTAATCGGACATAAATCTCGTATGTATCAAATTTGCCCTGTCAGATTCGTGACCCAATATTGCAGCTCAACAATGGCTTCCTGAAAACCCTGGAGAGAGAGAGAAAAAAAAAGCAATTCATTAATGGAAAGCAGTTCAACAATGTCACCCGGGAAATAAATTGTATTCAAATTCAGTAGATGAAGTGAGCAAGAACATACGTGCAATCGATAACTCAACTCGCCCTTTGCCGAAGTTGAAGTGCATACAAATGATACATATGTACACACTGTGAAGTTGCAGTTCATAAAACCGAATCAGCCGCTTAAGCAAGTCTCCATCGATGCATAGGGGTTGAACAAACAGCTTCCATCATTGTTGGTCAAACAGATATTATTCTATAGAAAATTGAAACATTTTGCAGCAGATAGCAGTAACCGTCGCTCGCCACTTTATTCGGCAACACTTAAATAATTTAGTTTATCGCCTTTAACATCAATCGTGATATTGTAGCAAGTTATGTTCATTAAGGATAGAAGTTGTATGGCCCAACATCATGAGTCTAACCTTAAAACATAAACCGGTCCATTTCATAATGTCGGCCCATTATCTGCTTCGTGGCCGAATAAATTTGGAATTAGGGTTACGACCTTCCATCCTCTTCTGCGCAAGTAGCTGTCCAGTTCCGGAGTTTCCCTAAGCGCATAATTTCATCACTGCACCGCTTTCTCTCTTCTCCGGCAAGTGCAGCCATGGAAGTAGAGGCCCAAGTTCCAGTTCCTGCTCCAGCTCCAGCTCCGGCGTCAGTTACTGGTCCCATGGACGTCAAGTTGTTCAATCGCTGGGTGTTCGATGACATTCATGTTCGTTCTCATTCATTTTTAGCTTCGTTATCGTCTTTCCTCGAGTCTTAGAATCAAACCGTCGATGTTCATGTGTACGATTTTCGCTGCTTAGTTATATTAATGCGACTGAGCTCTTTGATTATGCTTGGAGGGTCTTGATTCTGCTCTCAGGCTAATTAGGGTTTTGTATGTTTTGTTTTGTGATTTGGAATGGTTTAGATCAACGACATTTCCCTGTCCGATTACATCGGTGTCCAAGCGGCCAAGCACGCAACTTTTGTCCCCCACACAGCTGGGAGGTACTCGGCCAAGCGATTCAGGAAGGCTCAGTGCCCGATCATTGAGAGGCTTACCAACTCTCTTATGATGCACGGGAGAAACAATGGTAAGAAGCTGATGGCTGTCAGGATCGTGAAGCACGCCATGGAGATCATCCATCTCCTAACTGATGCAAACCCAATCCAAATCATCGTTGATGCTGTGGTCAACAGGTCTGTGAGATCGTGATCGAGACCGAATTTGTTTTTGGTTTGTGGATGAGTTTGTTTCTCATAGTATTTTTTCGTTTGCAGCGGTCCTCGTGAAGATGCAACTAGAATCGGTTCGGCTGGTGTTGTGAGGCGTCAGGCCGTCGATATTTCTCCGCTCAGGCGTGTCAACCAGGCCCTGTACCTCCTGACCACTGGAGCTAGGGAGTCTGCTTTCCGTAACATCAAGACTATCGCTGAATGCTTGGCTGATGAACTCATCAATGCTGCAAAGGGATCCTCGAACAGGTTTGTTTGCTTATAGGTTGATTTATGTTGATTGTTCATGGATGCTCGCATTGCTGATTATGCTCTCTCTCTCTCTCTCTGGTTGCTTTCCAGCTATGCTATCAAGAAGAAGGACGAGATTGAGAGAGTTGCCAAAGCCAACCGATAAGAGATTTTTGTATGTCTGCTGTTATCTTCAGCTTTAGCCCGTGTTGCTGGAAAATGTCAGGAGAATTTTGCTGTTTGTCTTTTGAGGTTTAAGGTACTTTTATTGTCAGTTGTTAGTGAAAACCGAGAGTCTGTTTGGAAGCCGAATGCTACATTCGTTTATTTGATACTTCTAGTAATGTCATGCTGAATCCTACCTTGATTTTAAGGTTTATTACTATCTCTCATGTCATTAACTCCTTGTATGTCTATATCTCGTGCTCTGTTGGTCAAAATGGAACCCCATAAATGTTTTAGGTAAGTTTACAGGTTCGTGTGTATTTTTCAGAAGGTTCTACGCCTGGAGCTTTGCTCTATGCTCGTTCAGTTCCTGCCAACGATTGTCGAATTCCAACTCAAAGTTGGCTCCAAAAAAGGGATCATACAACTCAAAGATGTTATATACCTTTTCCAACTTATGATTCTGACTGCGTGACTCGACAAGCTCCATCTTCAACTTGACAATTTTTGCAGCTAAACTCAGATCATCCATGAAGACACGTTCAAATTCTTGTCCATGATATTGTGTGCATGTGTAGAAAGAAGGAATTGTGGGATGTCGGCACAACAAAAAAAAGATTCAGGAGACGGAGATTTCTGGAAGCAGATGATATATCCATCCTGGAGCTGTAAAAAGGAAAGAACAAAGATATCATCGATTTGGATCCAATGTTAATTAACATACTGGAATCAATACCCACGGCTACGCGCCGCGGGAACTAAATTTGCATCATAATATTTTTTTTTTCCGGCCAGTTCAATTGATGCCAAATTGAGGTCGTGTTCTTTCCAGTGGTCTGGATTTCAAAGTAATGGAAGTATGGTTGGCAAACCTTTGTATCATGAGTTTCATAGTTAACTGTCACTGTACTTTGATTAGTCAATCTCATAGTCAATTGTTACCGTAATAGCTAAATAAGGGCAGAGAAGGGGGAAAAGAGGGAAGCACATATCAACTTTATGCAGTGGAACGATGACTGCAACAGTTGGCGTACGTCCGGCAAAAACCGTACAGTGGGATTTTTTCCAGGAATGGCCGCTCGCTGGATTTGGGGAAGCCAGAAGTCAGTAGGTGGGCGAAGAGGTGAATGGGAAGTCGTTCAGTAAAAGCCTTTGAAACCCACTAAACGACGAAAAGTGATACAGTAACGGGCAAAAAGCGTACCCAGCTTTTATATATAAAAAGAATACCCCTGATCGACCAAGGCCAAACACGTTTTAACATTAAAAGCAAAAACTTGTACAACAAGGGTTTGTTTTGTTCATCCTTCTCAATTTAATGAATACTCTAACACACGGCTTAATTGCTGCCTAGTAATCTTATTCTCAAAACTAACTTAGCTGAACTATGCTATATCTATCGACCAGAATGTCATTTCGAGGTCATCGTGTCGTGTGTGAAGAAGTTGCGAGAGTGACTGAAGTCTGAAGGCAGCTAACTATAAGGAGCAGCTGACATAAACAGGTGATCAGTGGGAAAGGTGGTGGGCTACCGTCGACGAATTCTCAAGTATCCAAACTTCCCAGCTCCAGGAGAAGACCCCTCAAAGATAAATGGCAAATACCCAGTTGCTACTTTGTACTTCTGCTGAACCTGATGAGACAAATGTGAGAGAGAATCCATAAAAGCACACATGGAGAAAGGGATCCAAAAAGCACTCTAACGGATTTACTACTCTTGTATTGCACACATGAATGCATACCTCTAGAATTTGTTGGCTGCTGCACAAGGAGTTCCTACCAATAACACAAACAGTGCCACCAGAGCCTCCACCGGTTATTTTGGCTCCGTATAACGTCCCACCTTCAGATTTCGACTTGGAACTATGCTGCATTTCCTGGACCATCCTTACAAGCCTATCTGTTCCGTCTGTGCCTAGCCCGCACGCACTGTAGCTGTAATGACACTGCAAACAGTTCAAAGTTCCACATGCCGTTAGGGTTTAACTGATTTTGTCTCTTCTTTCTGGACATCCGTTATCCACGTGACAGCCAGTCAGCCACTGTTGAGAAATCAAATACCTGATACAGTAATTCTCCTAGAGCTGTGAGTTGATCATCCGACGTTGTAGAAGTAAGCAATGCTTTGAAGTTCTGTGATAGGAAAATGATTTCGGGGTTAAAAAACAGTAGACTGTAGTGTGAGAAATTTCTCACAAATGTATGGGAAAATGTTAGAGCCAGCTAATAACAGACCTTCACTCGGAAATTCTCATAGATGGGATGTTTAGCTGGCGCTCTAACCACATATTTCCGGTTTGTATCAATCGATGTAACGGGATCGCTGTGATCAATGTACCTATTCAGGAATTCCTGACCCAGCAGTGTCTCAGGAAGCATCTTTGCATATAGGGCTTCATATCTGAAGAGTCAAGAAGGAGAAACCATATAAGGACTCCCCAGAATAATGAAAAGGCAATAGTTCTGTTCCCTGTCTTAAAATGCTAAGTAGTAAGGACAAATCTGTCCACAGACCTGTGTGGTGCCAAGTTGCACAAGTAATCTAATGATGCTTCAGCTTCTAGTAGTGCCACACCATCATCTTCCAGTTCATCATGGACGAAACCATTACTGAAGTCAGATGATTTAGACACCACGTCAGATGCTAAGGATTTTATGATCTTCCGACCCATGAAGGCTCCAATTCTCACAGATCCATAGTCTGCACCACCAACACTGCCAAAATAAGAGAAGCCAAGTTTTATTTCCATAGGAATATGAAGGCTGACTCAGGGATTGATTCCAAAATATCAAGTAAACATTGAGCATTTTCTACTCAATTAAGGTTTTAAGGGGGGATGGAACTACAGTGTGAATACTGAATAGAAGGATTCAAAAACAAAGATAAAGCAAGGGGAGGAATTTGAGTGTTTGACACATATCTGATGGTAGTGAGCAAGACAAGTTACCTGTGACGTATCCCGGAATCAATGCCCCAGAAACGAATATGGTTAGGGATTTCAACTAGCCCAATTACCTCAGCAGGCTGCAACAACAAAAATGATTAGTTGTGCAATCCAGATTCCAGAAAGCAAGCTCATGAAGGGGTTAACATACCTGGCAAACCATAGCCAGAAGCTTGTTAGCTTCACCACATGCTGAAGTCATCTGATCCATTACACCACAAGGGGCTCCAACGATGTGGTTCTCCACCTGTTAAAGGATTTTGAACCTAAATAACCCAGGGATAAATGACTCTGTGGAACAAGGATTTATGTGAATGCATAATAGTTACCTTTTGGCTGAGCAACGCAATATCTCTTGGGCTGATGCTCAATCCTGCAAATTTACAAGTTGAATTGTCTTAGTAATGCTCCTAAGTCTGTCAAACACTTGGGGAGTAATAACTAGAAAAAGAAAACATATGCAAGCACTTCAGCCCAGAAAAAAAAATAACATGTACATGAAGACGATCAGAATAACAAAATTACCATGAGCAGCAGCAATAGCAGACATGCTTGCGACTTCCACAGAGGCTGAAGAAGACACACCTTTGCCTTCAGGGACAGCAGAAGAAACCTACAGATTGGTACATGGAAAACTTGCTTTTATGAATTTAATAATTAATGAAATGTACAACAGCAGATGAAACAATGAGTGTGTACTGTAGCCAAACGATTTTAAATCTAAATGTGACTCATTTGATCATCGAGTATTCCATAAGTCATTCCTTGTGGCGGAAACAGAAGTGAAAGTCATCAACTTATAGCCTATTAGAAGGGAGTTGTGGAGTGCTTCAGACCACTCATCAGACTAACTTTCAGTGCGAATAACGAAGAAGCAAAAGCTTAGAATTAGACAATGTTGCAACTAAAAGTTACCACAGCGATACAAACATGAAAACAATCACCAAGCCAGAGCTTCGATTATACCAGCATGCTGATGCTATCTTCAAATCGCACACCTAGTTCTTTCATCAAAACCAAAATGGTCCCTGCAACATATGCTGCCCACCTGAAAAGGAACATGATGCATAAGATGTATAATCATAAACAAGCACCAAAAATACAAAAGAGCAACTCACTTTTGTGATGGATCTTGAGCAAAGTATTTCTTTGCCTTCTCATATGGTATTGGCTGCCCATCTTCAATGAAATCAGATAAATCCATGTCAAAAGTCGGGCCACGATTGCTTAACTCAGACCCATAAGACACCTGATAAAAGGAAGAAGCACAAGAGTGGTATTTAAAAGAGCATGTCTAAACTAATGTACTCCTATAATGAGTTCTTGTTTATCTTTGGTCTTCAGTTTGATTGGACAGTCTTCAGCATAAGTTAATAATAAGTCAAAGTTAGTCCACTGCTATGAAACTTCTCCTTTGGGTATGAAACAGCAAAACTGTTAGCCATTGCTCCTCAGAGGATTGTCTGAGGAAGGATGGCTTGAGAAACATAGAAGAGTAGAGCTTTAATCCCCAACTTACAATCTGAAGAACAGGGGTAGGTTGTTGGCCCTTTGTATTTTGCCTTTCCTGGGCATGTTTCCAGAGCTTATGTTTGTTAGGATCATTCCTCTGCACGGCAACATGACAAGCTTCTCTTGTAGGCAACTGTAGGAACGAATAATCAGTAAAAGAATCAAGTCAGGAAAACCACTTGACAAGAAGCACCAGACACTAGGAATACAGTCAGCCAGAAGAACAAAAAGTTTACGCTTTCCTATCAAATAACCCTTGTTGGTAGAAGACTATGATAGTAATCCAATGCAAACGGAAATAATCCAATCATTCTAAAAGTTGCACCAGATAGTTGGCACCAAAAACAGCATGACAAAGTATATATGTCCATAGAGGCTAAAGAATGCACAAGTGTCAAATGCCAAACAAGAATACAATAACTAGGAGTATTTCAATATTTAGAAAGGTTAAACTGTGAACTAGAAATCCGACCTGTAATACAAGGCTTCCTGAATAGTCAGCTATGCCTCCCATCACATCCAACCTACCGGGCGCTCTAGCCACATAGATATCTTCCTGCTCCAAAAACAACAGAACAAAAACAAACGCTTGTTAATCCACTGAAAAGGAACTTCCAACCACCAACTTGTTCAAGTTTGACGTGCATGAGGGGATGAAAGAAATTGATCCTTTCATAGAGAAACAGTACAATATAGCCGACACTCCAGAAAGAGGTGAGATAACAGGAATGTAAGTATTATATGAAAACTGACCTCCCAATTGAAAAGTCCTGCAGCAGCTTTACGCTCCCGCATTTGACGCTTCTCTGAATTCTTTTCATATTCATTTATAGCATCTAGCTCTGCCATGCTCTTCAAGAAGCTCATTGTATCTGGCAGGCCTTGAAGGTCACCATGAAGAATTTCAAAATCTTCTATATATCTGAGCAAATGGAAGAAATATATATCAATTATGAACTGCATAAAGCTTAAATAAGTTATAAGGAAGTAGGCTAACTCACGAGCTCATTAGGTGTCCACCCTCAGCTGCTGACACAGTTGATGACCCTGTAGACTTACTAAGTTCATTTGCAGCATTTGCATACCATTCTGGGACGAGTATATCCCTTCCAGGGGCCCTTTGTAGTTGATATCCTAGAACTATTGCATCCCGTAATCTTCTTGCGCCACTCAACTACATAACCATGTGGGAAAATCACAGAACAGTACATAAAAAAATGTTGAAATGCTGGAAACAGACATTTTGAGTTCATGCATGGTGGTACATCTAGTTTGACATGCGAGAATGGGACAATAACCAGGTTATTTTGTGAAACGCACTAAAGAAGCCTTAATATAACATCAGTTTGAATGTATGCAAAAACAGATTATAGAACATAGCATAACACGAATATCATCTCCACATTTGCCTACCAGAATAGTTCAATACTTGATGAGCATTTAACTACAAACTGGAATGAGTCACCACAGTCCAGTCAATATATCCCTTAGCACAACAGGTTCAAAAATTCAGAAAGCAATCAGAATCCTCCAGAATTTAATCATCACCCTCACCTGCCCACTACTCTCTCATTTCCTAATCTTTTTCTCATGCTTGGGATAAATCAATGGGCTCTTAAATTTGTTCACAACTTGTTTGAAATGCATTGAAGGGACTGCTAATAAGATCAACTTTCATTTCAAAAATTAAGCCAGTCTGCAATGTACCTTATCCGAGGCATAGTTCTTCCCAATAGCTGTCTCTTGTATAATATGAGCTGCGACCTGCATGTTTTAGATGGTAAGTGTCACCAAGCAATCTATCCATGTCTGCATAAACTGTGTCTACTAATTTAATTCTAAGAACCTCAAATTTATTAAAACCTCTATGTTGTGCAGAAACTGTCTACTAATTTCAGAATGGAAAAATAAATCAGATACCCCATCCTCTTCTTTGGGTCTACTTTTTCTCTAAAGACAGTTCTCAAATTTTGAACAGAGGCAGATAAAGTAGTAGTTTGATATATTATTTTGGCAAAGCAGAGGAAAAGAGCACAATACCTCACCACCATTAATCCCACCCTCATAACATGGTTTTAAGCTGATTGCACGTTCAAGGTAAGGTTTCCAGTGCCCAGTTAGTAAATCTCTTCGAATCATCTCGACACCACCTTGATAATACTGTTCACATAATTTGCTTGAATTAAAACCATACAAAGAACGGAGTACAAGAAGAAAAGATACAGAGGAAGCAATGAAAGGATAGACAGGATAATATTATGGAAACACACAGAAACAAACCTCAAGCATATTCCGTAAGAATGGCTCTTCATTAAAATAATCTCTCCGTACAAACACAAATGGTAATTTGTACGCCAAGGCTTCACTAACAGTCCCATACCCAATCTTTCCTGAAATGGAAACATAATCACTGAGAAGTGAGAACCATGATCACTTAATATAGTTCAGTAATCAAAGTATCTCATACATACCTAGCATGCAGTCCGATGCTGCCATAACATCAGGTGTGTAGGCATCTTTCGCTAGTTTTATGAAATTTGGTGGAAGCTCTTGTGTATCAGATGCACCACACACCTAGCTCAACCAAGGGGAGAAAAGGTGGAGAAAGTGGCGTCAGTGAAGCATGCTGCCAAGATACATGAAACAAAATCCATTTATCACATAGACAGTGCTATGGAAGTTACCAGGCACAACCAACCAGGGGGCAAAAACTCCTCCTTCAGCTTCCAGCCAGACGGCTGCAAATCAGCGAAAGTACTTTGAAGTTACAAACAATAGCAAAACAAGGCAATTCAGGACAATTACATGTCTTGGGGGATTATTCTTCTGGTGTTGGTGCTAATCAGGGGAACAGAGAGGCAGTAAAAATAGAAATCAACCAATCAATGTTGTATAATTTTAGTATCCTCACCTGTCCACCAAAGTTAAGGATAACAACCTTCACATCTTCTTCAATGGCAAGTTCCTTTCTTATCTGTAAGAAAACCACAAAAAGGGTTTTGCATAAATCTTTAAATATAAGATGGAAGAACTTTATCATTGGGCATTGGCACAGTACGAACCTCTTTGCGGGACTTATGCAACCTCCTGACAACTAGGGGTACATCGATGACATCACGGAATGCCGGCACTGCAAAGAGGGACAACATGAAGTTAGCAATTTTTACAACCAAAGATAACCTTTTCTAAGTCTTCCACATGATGTTAAACAAGAAGTAACATACTGGGGCAATATCCAGGGAGACGGATCAGGAACTCGCAATGAGAATAGTCCTCTGCAATCTACATGATAATGGCAAAGGATTAAATAGTTAACTTAAATTTCTGCCCCTGATATCACAGAGCAGAACGAACAGAAAACTCCAAAACGAAAGTTCAACATGCATACAGGGAAGGTTTACAAGGACTTCTATCAGCTAACATCAAAGTTGCAACATAGTTGGTCATGCTGTGAACACTGGGGATAATTCAATGGCCAAAATTTAGAATGAGTGATGCAATATACTAATGGCCTCGCCGAGTAAGCTGCCAAACAGTAAATCATAGCAGCAATCTCACGTAGGAAAAAGGAAACCACCTGCCAAACTATTGAACGGTGATGATTCCCAGCCGCCATTACATACTCTGCATATATGAAATCCCAACTGCAGCCATAGCAAAGCTTGAGAAAATTTTCAAAGTGTCGTCACCAAAGATTACAGAATGACAGGGTAAGAGTAGGATCGACAACTTCAGCATATACAGACTCATCATATGTCAGGATAAGTTCAACATGAAAAGTGATTTAAATCATGAAGAATTATTCCATATGACTTTCAAAAGCCACCAGGGAGTACTGATATACAGTAAAGACCCTAACACAATAACAGAACTGCATGTAACAGTGAAATACGAGTGTGACTCAGGGTGATTCAACTTCATAAACTATGACCAAAAGGGTTTGGCTTGCCAACACCACTCCTCACCCAGATAGGGAATTCCAAGAACTATCAATCTACCAAAAATAGTAAACAGTGACGACAACTACCTAAAGTTGGTGACACAAACGGATCGAATGCCAGCTTCAGCTGCAGCACGGCAAGCAACTGGAACAACATCTGAAACCTGCAGTACCAACCCAAACAAACATCAGGTACCCTATTTTACCTTATGCCAGAACTTCAACTATTCGAAGAACTCCTCGTCATATTAGTGGCTGCGCTAGAAGAAACAGTTGAGAGACCAGTATATAACGTACCACTAAGTCAGCTTTGATGCTATTGAGCCACTCTACCTCAGTTGCCAGAATGGATTCCCGGGGTATAACTGCCGTCTCTGAGTACTAAAATAATATTCAAAAGACACCAAAAAGGGTCCAAACAAGAAGACTAAATAATCAAACAAGGGAACAAACAAGAAAGCATCATAAATTACACAATAAGGAACCCTTGCCCCCAATCGAATCAGCTAATAGACAAATCTATGTTGTGTGAAGTGAGTACCTTCTCCAAGGAAGCAAGCCGATCAACCGTCAATGCATCAGCTTGGACTGCACCGCAGTCCAGAAGTACCTGAAAAAACTCAAAACTTCCAATTACTTCTTCCCCACACCACCCAAGTCGAAACTTCCAAAGCAGCAATCTTTCACAATAACAACAAAAGGGTAAACCAGGAAATAGCCATTACCTTGCGGATGAAGAGCCGGGGAGACTGTATCTCTGAAGTGAACACAAAATCAGGAGCACCCGTAACCACGTGGACGTCATGCCCAGCCAGAATCAGATTCCTTACCACCTGCCACACACACGCGCGCGCGAAACATGATCGATCGTCAATATTTTCCCAGACGATCACTCGCCAGTTACAAAGTGGGTTTTTTTTTCTGGCAACAATACTTCGATACCCATAATTCTACCGTTAGCATAGCTCCAAAATCCAAACACTATCATTGATCAATCTGATCAGGAAACTCAACTAAGGAAACAAAACCATCCTGTATAATCGAGGGGAAAGATTGAGGGAGTGAAAGAGAAAAGATAAGGGTACCTCGACAACACGAGTGGCGTGGCCGAAGCCATGGCCGGTGACGTAGTAAGCGAAGACGAGGTGCTTCCTCGACGCCGAGACGCCTTCGCTCTCTTCTATCCGCATATCTTTCCTTTCCCTTCACGACTCTTTCCTTCTCAGCTCAACGCGCCGCACTCCTGCACGATAACGTGGGGAATGCAGGAAAACAGGAAGAAGAGATTTTGACTGAAGGGGCGACGATGGGTCCTGAAAAGGGGAAGGAAAGGAGGGGACTTTAAATGTGGGGAAATTGAAGAACGGATAAGAAGGGTGACGAGGCATTTAGTACCGGAATTAGAAAGGATTTTGATTTGCAGAATCGGGGGAAAAAAAGATTGTGTGCAAAGCGCAGGGGGAGGAGGTGTTATCGGTTAGGTAATACGTACGGGTGAAATCCATCTGGTTGTTGTGTGATCAGATGAACCGGAACTCTAACTCGTCCCTCCCAACTCGTGCCGTACCTCTGTTTCGATGATAAATACAAGTTCTGTTACGATGATCCTTGGAAAGATTTCCCTCCGGAAAACGATAACGATCCTTTGGAAGACTAACATAGCAAAATTGCCCTGTGCAAGAGCCACAGTTTAATCAGAACAACTTTTCCTGCTATTCAAAACCAATTTCTCTTTCCACCCAACGATTCTGGCTTTGATCTTTTGTTTGATGAATGTAAAGACCACCTTCTTTGATCAACCAATATAGTCAATAATTCAAGATACCTGTTGTGTTTTGATACTTTTAATCTTTTAAACACGATTTTATGTTGATCTCCTCGAAGGCTTGTCGTGTTTTATGTCTAAATGTTAGTTCCAGTTTAGGTTTAATCATTTGCTCCGATTCAACTTCATAATCTGTAGAATTTTCTTCAATTTGTTTTATTTTAGAGGCTTGTTCTACCAATAGGATGCTATCGTCCATAAACAGGAGATGAGAAGTTATTGGAGCATTCTTCAGTATTGAAATCACATGAATATCCTCTTTTACGTTCGACTTCTTGTATCATAAAGGAAATGCCTTCTGCACACACGATAGAAAGAGATACGTAGAGATTGGATCACCTTGGCTTAGCCATAAATTAAGAAAGACGGATTCTCTTTTGTGTTGTTCAACAAGAGTGAATACGATACCGTTGAAAAAACAACTCATGTCTAAATTCATCCATTGCTACTCGAACCCCATTTTTCATCACCTTCATCAGGATGCCCCATTCCACGTGGTCATATGCTTTAGCTTATAAACCATATATAATTTTGCTACAAAGAAGCCTTCTCCCGCTTCTTGAGTTTCGTTTATGTAAAACATTCAAAGTCCCCCAATATTATTATCAAAGATCGATCTACCCTGACACAAGCACTCTAAGAGCAACCACAGCGCCTGTCATTCCCTTCTTCCATTCTGACGTGGCATGGGGTGCTGCCTATTTCATGGTTGCAGCCCCTCTTCCATATAATGACAGCTTCCATTTAATGGAAGAACAAATGGAATGGATATGTGCTTTCTATTTTTTTTTTTCATTCCCTTTTGTGTGAGTTGGGAGAAATTATATTTGTGTTGGTAGTTATAATTTAAGATAAATAAACTTATTAGATTAAGTAAATTCATTAAACTTATGATCAACTAATTTTGTAAATTTTGAAAGTGTTATACCGAAGAAAAAAAGCTCACGTACGCTTATATAGATATAAAGATGTCTCAACTACATCCAAATACAAATTGCATAGAAAATCAACAATACTTAATAAAAAGTCATTACACACAAATTAACTGATACACACTTTAAAGTCTAAACTGTCACACAAAACAAATACACGTACTACATAAATTATTCAAACCATAAAATTAAATCACTGATTGCCCAATAACTCTTGGATTTTCTTCTCATATAGCATTTTTTGTGCGTCCGTCATCGTTGATAGATCCAGTTCCACCAATTTCACCATTAACTTATCTCTCTTGTACGCTTCTTTCTTCCTCTTTCGTTCCTCTCTTTTTCTCTCTCGTTCTTCCTCTAGTCTTACCTTTGCAGCCGTGAACTCTTTCATCGCCTCTACCTTTCCTACTTCAATAATGATTTTTTGTTGCACTGCTGCTTGCATACTCTCCACCGAAGAAGATGATATAGATGGTTTTTTACCTTTATCCTTTGAAGCTTTTCTTCCTGGAGGACGAGAATGAGATAGGACCTCACAATCTTCGATGGGAGACATGCACTAGGAATGGAAAAATTGTCCTATTGCATGGCGTGGGCAATATGCTAGGGGGACCATAAAACTCCAACCATTATGCTTGAAGCTGTTGCTTCACAAGATTTGTGGATATGACATGCTTTCTTTGGTGTTCCAGGTACCTTGAATGACATAAATGTGTTAGATAGGTCCCCTATCTTCCATGAAGTGTTAGAAGGGAAAGCACCAAAGGTTCGATTTTCCGTTAATGGAAGAAACTACAATTTGGGGTATTACCTAACTGATGGTATTTATCCCAATTGCGCCACTTTCGTCAAGTCAATTCCACTACCCCAAGGATCCAAACACAAGTTGTTTTCGATGAAGCAAGAGGCGGCTAGAAAAGATGTCGAGAGAGCATTTGGGGTGCTCCAAGCACGTTTTGATATCATTAGTGGACCATCACGCATGTGGTGTAAGGACATAATCGCTGAGATTATGAGAGCATGTATAATTATGCACAACATGATTGTTGAAGATGAACGAGATACATATATTCGTTAGTTTGATTACACAGATGAGGACGTGAACTTTGAAGTCTCGATGCCTACAGTTTCTCAAAATCATCTCCCGGAGTATGATGAGTATCTTCGGAACCACACAAGGATTCGTAATAGATCAACTAATAATCAACTTCAATCCGATTTGATAAAAGAGATATGGAATCGATTCGGAGACGAGGAGTACGATGATTAATCTAGCATCATTTCTATGTATGTGTATTAAATGTGTTTATTTGCAATAGTAATTGTGTTATGTACATGTGTTTATTTGAATTGTGATTGTGTTCTAATTTGTCATTTGAATATTGTACTTGTGACTTTAACAAAAGTTTCATGTATTCTTATTAAAGTCTACCCATTTTAAATTACATATTTTATTTTTAATCAATGAATAAAGCTATAATATATATTTTCAATGAATTAGTAAATTTATTTCATCATTGATAATTAAATAATTATAATATATTATTTTAATTATTTGATACGTCTTAAATTGATAAAATCATATAGGTTAGATATAAATGTATAGATGTATTAAAAAGTAAACTAGACCCATCATATGAAATAAATAGTGGATTTCATGGATGTAGAGAAAATAAAAGTGATATGTAGTGAAATGGAAAAAACTGTTGATGTGGCAGTAGGGGCCAAATATGAAAGAGAAATGGTATTTCTTAGATTTTTTTTTAATATAATCACTCATTTTTCTCACAAATTGAAAAGGCTTGGACACAAGTGTTTTTCACCTTAACAGACACAAGTATTGCAAATCAAAAAAATTATGTAGTAGAACGATAAAGTTAGAGAAAATAAGAGGTAAATTGATATTTTTTACTCAAGGAAAGCTGTGAGATGGAAATGAAGGTAAGTTGAGGGCTAATTCGTCATTGTCCTATGAAATCCGGAAAAGGGTTGCGCTTGCGCCGATACTCTGCCCAGATGTGCGTATATATACATCTCTTCTACTGCTACAAAGAGAAATCATCTTCTCCAATCCTACGATGTAGAGCTTCAGGAATTAGGGTTTCATTTGTTCGCGCCGCATACCGTCTACTCTTCTTTAGCTTCATCCCCCGCGATGTTTGTCTCTGTTTTCCTTGTTTTTTATCCTTTAGGTTTCGGGAAGATAGGTTGTTTTAAACGAAAAACGGGGCTGAAGTTTAACTCTTTGGCTCATGTTTTAATGCCATAGAGTTGAATACAGCTACCCAATATCGAGCTCAATCGTTTCTCCCTTTTTCTTCTCAGTCTGATTTCTGGGTTGATATATCGGGGATGGAAGGGTTGATACATCTCCTTCCATTGCCTATCTGTGTCTTTTTTTCTTCCTTTCTTTGTCTGTGTTTGCATTCGAGTGGTAATTCAGGCAGCCTCTTAGCCAATGAACAGATGGCTAAGAAGGTGTTTAACTGCTCGTAAATTAATGTCTTTTGACTCTTCAGACTTACTGAGATTTCTCTCTATGAAGCTGGTCTAGTAAGCTTAAGCACATCCCAAATTCGTGGACTAAAGAGTCTAGGGTTTCCTCCCTCTGTTTGGATATCCTTCACTGTTGTAGATCCGATCTGGTTAAACATCTCAAAGGGAAGAACTGAATTTGGCAGCACCGACTGGTTCCATGGTGTAGTGGTGAGCACTCTGGACTTTGAATCCAGCGACCTGGGTTCGAATCCCGGTGGGACCTATCGAATCTTTTTTCGAGACAACTTGAGATTTAGGTAAATTCAATTTTGGCCAAACCATGATAGGACTGAAACAAATCATGACAAAACTGTATGATAAATGGGTTGGAAACTTGGAACCCAGTAAATAGGGCATCAGGCGAATACAGAGATTTCCAATTACAGAACATTAGTGTATATACTTCACCTGAATTTACTATCATGATGGCACAATGTTCCTAAGGTTTGAGCTACTACATGGTTTCTCCTTGGTTAAAAGCTCTAGTTACTGCAAGTGCATTCACAAAATACTCAAATATGTATAATCCATGACATTTTTCACCAAGTAATCGGAGTATGTATGTTTTGGATCACTCCTGGTAGCATCATCCACTGTTGCTGCTGCTGCTGCTGCTGAGGCTGCCACTGAAATTGTGACTCTTTTCGTTCCGTTGTTCCACCAACCCCAAAATCTCTCACTGTACCATTGTAGCTCGCCGGGGTTTCATCTGTATCCATCATGTCAGTATCTTCTGCCTCCATGGCTTCTGACCAAATTGTGGCTTGTCCATCTGCTACATTGTTCATGAGCGGTTGGGGAGCAACCCACGGAATAACAGCCAAGCTGTTATCGGATTTGCCAATGCTTTTCCCTGCTGCCAATTTCTCCTCAACAGATTTATCTTGCTTCTGATTTCCTGGCCACCAGATACGATCTATATCCAACACAAAGTGGAATGAGCTCAGTCAGTTATATGTCGATCAGACATTCACACAAGCACTAATCTGACATACCACATTTGTGATCATGCCATCCATAAACTAGTTCTTTCTTACAGAGAGACATTCCTGGAAATCACATAAAAAATTTATGATCCTAATACACGAGCTCATTTCAGCATCAGTTGGTCGCTCTTTATTGATTTGGGA